TTTCAGGGTTTCAAATGAACACTTTTTTTTATTTTGTCCAAACTAATAGTCATGGAAATAAAAATGCTAGAAAGTTATTTTCGTGTTCGGTTATATGTGTGAGCCACTGTATATGTAATTTCGATTAATCGATTTTCAATTTGAGAATCGATTCATGTTATTACTAAGAATCTAAATACCTAGTTCATGAATTTATTATAATTAATTTTTATTTATTAGCATTAGGAAGTTCTCAGTTTCTTTTAATAAACATAATTTGTTCACCAAATGGCTATTTAATCGATTTCGTTAGGTGTAATTAAGTTTCCCACATCTGAAAATAGACGTTCAGATGAAACTGATGTGGCAGGAGTTGTCAAATATTTACGTGCAAATTGTGAAAGAATTAGCTGATCTTTTGTTTTGTTTTTAATTGCATGTTGATTTTTTTCTCTTTTCGTTGAAATAGTTGAAGTTGTACTTTGATTAGTTGAAGTTATACTTTGATTAGTTGAATTCGTAAAGATACTACATGATAAAGATAGTATAGAGGCAATTAAAGTATTGTCATCAGATTGAGATTCTGTATCCGTTTCATTACATGTATTTTCTGTTGTTTCATAAACATCATTCAAATTTGGATTAATTTCAATTACTTTTGGCATTAATATCACTATCAGAGTTATTAACATTTTTGTTGAATGACAGAATACATAGTTTGTAACATTTGCAAGTGAAAATTATTATTTACACGATTTATGCACTATTGTTATTAAACAATCAATGTGTCACAGAGTTTGTGGGTCAAATGCATTTATTATAACTTTAGCTCATAAAATAACATCAGAAAAATCAGCATCAGAAAGTGAAAATGAAGAATTGCTAGAAACACTCAATGATATTGATGAACTTATATTTAAAGTCAAAACAGAATTATATTATATTTGTTATACTTGTTTTGAAAAGAATAGTAAATATCATTTTGAAAAAGATAACTATAGTAATATATAAAGATAACAAATTACATAATAATAATACTATATTATCTCTTTAATTACTAGAAAAATAGATATTAAATGTAGCTAAATCTGTTAATTTAGATACAAAATTATTATTTTCATTTTATTTAAGTCCAATTTACAAATTTTAAATATATAATTTTATTTGAAACTATTATCACAATCAAAAATTAAATAATAATTCAATTTTTTAACTTATTATTATAATAAAAATTCAAATAATAATTCAGTCTTTTAGCTTATTTATTATTAAAACAACTATTAAATTAATATTTTTTCAATACCAAAAAGTTTGTTAACTGAATATTTTTTAGTTTTGAATAATATAATGACAAATATAATTTAAATATCAAAAATAGAACTTTAAAGAAATATTATACTATTAGAAAGTTTAGATATATTTTTTAACAATTTCAAAATTACTTATATTATTTTTTGATATATTTATAATAAACTTAGAAGAGAAACAAAATATTTTTGCTATTCACAAAGCAAAATGAATACAAAATAATTAATTTAGCAAAGATTAAAAAAATAAGTTTATCAATTATTTTAAATATAGTATTAAAAGTATAAATATTTGGATTTGTTATATGATAACAAGTTTATATCAAAAACCAAGTCTTTTTTTTAATTTATAATTTTTTAAAAGAAGTTAATATAATACTTTATATTAATTAATAAAAATATTATTTGAAAAATTTATAAAAAGAGCAAAAAATTTTTGTAATTAAATATAAGTTAAATTTAATATTTGAAATATTGCTATAATTAATAATATTAATATTAAATTACATATAAAAATATTTATTATATTATTTATCAGTCTTTACATATAATATTACAGATAATTTTTCAATATAATTTATTTAAACTTATAATAATATCTGATAAAATTATTTTTATAATGCCAAAATATTTTATTATATTATTTGTTAAATGAAATTTCTAATATAATATTACAGATAATTTTTCAATATAATTTATCTAAACTTATAATAATATCTGATAAATTATTTTTATAATGCCAAAATATTTTATTATATTATTTGTTAAATGAAATTTCTAATAATTGACAAAATCTGTAACAAGTAACAAAACTAATAACAATTAATAACAAAATTTTTTGATTAATCAAAATAATAACTTAATTGATAAAATTTGTAATAAAATCTTTTAATTAATAAAAATAATAGCTAAAATTACATATATAAATATATATATTGTTACAATAATAACATAAAAATCACAAATTTAAAAATAATCAAAAAACATAAAAATTTCAAAAATATTCAAATAACAACAAAATCTCTTAGTATTATTTTACTTTTTATTTTTCACTTTTTAGAAATTTTACTTTATTTTTCACTTTTTAATTATTTCATGTTTTATTTTTACTTTTATATATATTATTTTACTTTTATTATTTCACTTTTTATTTTTTCACTTTTATTATTTTACTTTTTCAATTTTTCACTTTTTATTTTTCACGTTTATATATTAATTCATTTTTATTATTTCACTTTTTATTTTTTCACTTTTATTATTTCACTTTTTCAATTTTTCACTTTTTATTTTTCACTTTTATATATATAATTTCATTTTTAATTATTTCACTTTTTAATTTTTCATTTTTATTTTTCACTTTTTTAAAATTTCACTTTTCATTTTTATATAAGTTATTTCACATTTATAATTAGTTATTTCACTTTTATATATTTCTATAATTATTTATTTCACTTTTTGTAATTTCAAAAAATGTATAAATAAAAGTGCTATTTGAGACTTATCTCAACATGTTGTAACTGAAAATAAAAATTTCTCTTAACAAAAATCTTCTTTCAAATACTTTCTGTCTCTCATATTTTCTTTATACACTTCAAATCTTGTGTATTATTACAAGTTTGTTCACTAATCATTAAATTAGCTTACAAACGAGAATCTAGATTGGGAGAGGGTATAAACTAATAAAGAAAATATTAAGAGAGAAAAGATATATCTAAGACCTATGCCAATTTCTATAGAAATTGTATTTACTTGAAAAGAAATAATAATATAGGAGAGTTATGGGAGAGTAAAGATCAAAGGAGAGAGAGAATAAAGGAATAATAAAGAAAATTTGAAGGGAAATTCTATATTAGTATAAAGCTTTTTGAATTAAAGATAATATTGTTACAAGTTTGTTCACTAATCGTTAAATTAACTTACAAATGAGAACGTGGGTTGGAAGAGGGTATAAACTGATAAAGAAAATATTAAGAAGAAAAGAGAGGTGTCTAAGGCCTATGCCAATTTCTACAGAAATTGTGTTTACTTAAAAAGATATAATAATGTGGGAGAGTTATGGGAGAGTAAAGGTCGAAGGGGAGAGAAAATAAAGAAATAATAAAGGAGATTTGAAGGGAAATTCTATACTAGTGTAAAGCTTTCTAGAACTGAGGTAATATAATTAGTAATAACAATAACAAATATTCTCGCACTTTGTTCTTCTCACTAATAAGGAATTCCATTAATAATTAAAAATTCAAATAATAAAAAAGTAAAATACTTATAAATTCAATTTCAATAATTCCAATATAGTGATTTGTTCAGCACAATATGATATAAAGCTCAATAATTCAATAATAACAATTTGTTCAGCACAATACAATATAAAGTCCAAAGTCAATAACAGCGATTTGCTTGATGCAATATGATATAAAGCCATCAGCGATTTGATAGGTTCAATACGATATAAGACCACTTATACACAAGATTTGAAGTGTATAAAGAAAATGTGAGAG